CATATATAGTGCATGAAGAGAATGACAGAACTATAGATCACGGGCAATCATGCTCCAAAGAAAGGTTTGCAGCCTGCGGCATTCATAAAGCCCTCTCAGAATAAAAGCATAATAAACACCGGAAGATAGTAGCTAAATTGCCATGTTGTGCTGTCACATTTTTGTAAATGAGATTTATAATAATAGGATAATGCAATCATTGCATTTCCATGAAAGACATCATGACTACTAATGTTCAGATTTAAGAAACCTGAATTCTTTACCAGGACACAGAATGTTAGTCTCTCAGAGAAAGAGTGTGAGGCAAGATTTGGAGAGAAGCACTCCAGCATCATGTGATGACATCATCAATGGTGACATCTATGGGTGGCCATACATATGACGTCATCAAAGGGTACTCCTTGAGGAGACTTTATTAATTTCATCACCACTTAGTGTCCACCGACAGCAGAGATGCACAAAGCATACAGATCTGGAAATACTGATTTATTCTCATTATGAGATGAGCACCTATGTTAACATGGGAATGAAGAAATAAATCTTGCAAATTCTAAGGGAAATTTTTTTACGAATCTTTTTATTGCATGCATTCACTATCAAATAAGCAACTGTAAAATAGACTATTTCATAATATTGACACAAAGCAGGAACTGAATTCCAAAATGGATGTCCTGAAGAAAATTTAACAAATGCTACAAATTAAATCTGAGAGTAATGTACAGACTTAGTGGTCTGTCACCTACCAGTCCTGGCTTCAGAATTAAAACACTACTTTCTCTATAAATGAATGAGTCTTGTCAAATAGGAAAGACCCAAGACAAGCAGGGAAGTCATGTTTATATACTTTTGGGGGATACCCTCTACTTTAAAATAGTTTTAAAAAGCATATTTGTCTTTTTAGTCATGAAACTTGCCTCATCTAGTTACCATGTTAGTTGGCTAACAACTTCCTTCAACCTGTCCTTTAAAAAAAAAAACACTAAAGTAAAATTACTATAAAAATGGAGAATAATTATCCTTACTCATATTATTTCCAAGTTAAGAAGATGTCTATGAAGATGAGTTCTAATTGTGATAGACTGATTCATTCAAAATCTTCATGCACAATATGAACTGTGAGAATATTAGCTAGCATTTATTAAGAATATGATACATAGGCAGGTGTGGTGGGTCACATCTGTAATCTATGCTACTCCAGAGAATTGTAGTTCAAGGCCAGCCTGGACAAAAAGTTAGGTGGGAGTGAGGGTGAGGGTACACAAGTGTGATCCCAGCTACTCAGGGGCCACAGGTAGGAGAATCACAGTCGGAGGCCAGCCCAGGCAAAAATTTGAGACCCTACCTGAAAAATAACTATAGCAAAAGAGGACTGAGGTCATGGCTCAAGTGACGAGTGCCCACCCAGCAAGCATGAAGCTGTGAGTTCAATCCCCAGTACTGCATAAATAAATAAATAAAAATAAATAAATAAATAGGAACATGATACATGCTGAAACTTTTGCTCATCATAACCCTGTGAGTGGTATTATTTTCACACCCACTTTACCCATGAGAAAATGAGTCGTGCTTTTAGAGCTAAAGCCCTCCTGTCTGGGCAGGAGGAATGTGAGGTTTGCAGCCCTACTTCCTTAGTACAAAACTATGCTTAAAAATCCTTTTTTTTTTTCTGTAAGATTCTAGGAAGGGGAAGAAAAATATCTTAAGAAATCAGTGCTTCTATGAGTGGATTTTTAGACTAGCTGTGGATTCCAGAATTATAGCTTGATATATTCAGGCTCAGAACCATTTGGATGTAACATAAGAGCTCTCACCTTCGCAAATCCTTGCTTTGAGACCTTCTGCATTTATAAACAAGCATGCATGCACTGGGATTCAGTGTGCCCTTCTGGTTGATCTGTGGAAAACACTACTGTGTAATGCAGTCAGACTTCATTTGGGCCATCCCTTGCTGGCTAGATACACTGGCAATGAAGGATCTGAAGGCATAAGCTTGGCAGTAGCTTCAAAATACTCAGTTGGCCCTGGAATGTTAACATGCTCATTGTGTGCATTTATCATGCATGGCCTCGCTGCTGTCCAAATCCACCCTGAGTCTCCAATCAGGAAGAAGTATTGACAGGAACACTACTAATATGACATGACTGGGGACAATACACAGTGACATGAGCGGAGGTGATGAGGAAAACACTTATGGTTTCCTGACCATCCCCTCTCCCTTCCTGCCACGTATCTTAATGTACATTACATCCCTGTTCTGGCAGTCACAGACAGAAAAGCCAAAAAAGAATTTATGAAGCTGTATCCATCAACACCACCCATGGTCACTTGAAGTGCTGTCATTACGAACTGACTTGTACCCACTGTCTGTACACACTACACTCGGTGTCTGTATTCTAGCTGTAGAGCCAGGGCCAGTCAGGCATCTTCCCAGAGCCAAGATGCCTTTCACAGCCTCACCAAGAAGCCAGATAGGAGGTAGAGATCCATCCAAGTTGGCATTTGCTCCATTATGACAGAAAGGCAACAAAGAAGAACTAATTAGGTTTTAACCTAGGACCAGGATACAGAGGAAAGAAATGGTACATTTAAGCAAGACCTATGTTTGTGGTTACTGATGCAACCTTCCAAAAAAGTTGAAATGTATCCATTTGTAGCTTTCAGACACAAAGACTCAGAAACCCCTTCTTAGGTAGATGCTTTTCAGAATTATTTATCTTTTATACCTGAATTTACAGCAAATGCATGGAGTTATAGCCTAACAACACCAGTGTCCACCTCCAATATTGTATTGTATCCAAATAGTAATTCTGAGCTTTCCTACAGGAACTTTTGATTGACAAGATATTAGAGAAATGCCTTACAATTACTAAAAACATGTTCTCTTAATTAAATAAAAATAATTACTTATCTTGTTTACAGAGCATTCTCTATGAATAGATTCATATTTTTCACCAAAATTCATGAACAAAGTTGCCTATTAAACACTAAAATAAACCACATAATTTAATTTTTCTTTGAGGATTAAGATTATTTTGAAATCTTCCTGGAACTCAGGGATTTCATTATGATTTCAGCTTCCATTGCATAAAAGAAATGTACACATAGCGTTTGACAGATGACCTGAGAATGGCATACCAACAAGCACTCTGTGTTAGGGGAGCTGTACCCCTCAAGCTGTCTTCTCTCTTTAGCAATGAAAGAAAAATACAATACGGACTGTTCTCATAGGTAAACAAGCTAAACCAAAGGTAGTTTTCTCTACACACACCATTAGTCACCTCATATCCACTCTAAAAACAAACTCAGAAAACCAAGATTAAGGCCAATTTGAATTTTAAATCCCATGGTGGTAATCTGGGATAAAACAGGGTTTCTCTTCAGGCCAAAGAATGAAAATTTTTTTTCTCTTAAAAAGAGAATCAGTATTGTTTTTTTTAGAAGAGAGATAAAGGCAAAAGGCATAAAGTAATGAGCTTAAATTGTATTTTTGTTTCTAAAACAATGTGCTCGGTCAATGGAATTACTATAGAACTAGCTCGCTGAGATTTTGTTATAAGTATATAAAACCAATAAGATAAGGATATCCTATTAATGAAAAAAGAATTATTAAATTCCTATCCTTTTTCATTTTCTCTGATCATCAGGATGTCCTTCGTCATCAGATGATATAAACTCTAGGCAAATTTCCAAATGAGTTAAGTCACAAAACATGCTCTGAGGGAAAGAAAGAACAAAAGAGGAAAGATGAAACAGGAAAGGACAGAGAAAAGGAGACTGAGACAGGAAATCAAAGTAAAGAAGAAAGTTTTTAAAAAAGAGGCATTTTCAGCAGAGCTTCCAGGACTTAAATTAAGTATGGCATTAATTTTTTTCCACCAAGTCTTAGTCTTGGCAGGTTTCTGCTAAAATGCAGGAATTTCGTGGATGTGGAAACTAGTGATGGAAAATGCATTATTATACACAACAATTGTACTTGAGAGAAACTATGTGAGAAAAAATAACACCCTAGAATAAATACAAATGAAATTCATGTATCAAAACCAATACTGTGAAAATAGTTTAAATGTTTCTTGAATTTATATCTAGTCATTAACCTAAATGCAGATTTTAGTTCAAGCCCCACTTCTGCCTCATGGTCAGAAGGCCTGAAAACCTGTGGCGTGGAAAATTGACAGGATAAAGCATATTGAATTGGTCTCCATGGAAAAATACATTTTGGCAGCCATAATCTTCTCCCCAAGCTGGTCTCTCTCCCCCAACTCTTTCTTCCTCCCTGTTTAACTCTTATCCCAGGAAAGGTAGGCCATATATTAGCTAAAACAACAAGCAGATGTCAACCTTCCAATCAACACAGGACTTTTCCCACTGATCTTGACTCCCATGGACAGAGTGAGGGCCCCCAAAATGTCCCAACTTGCCCTCTGAGACCACAGAAGCTGGAATTTTCATTTCTGCTGACTTTGCTTTTCTTCTTTCCTCAAAGAAGGTAGTCAGGTGAGATACCTGTTTCATCCAGAGACCCTAAAAGAAACTGTAATTCACAAATGATAAATTCATGCACAAAAATCTATTCGTCTCTTGCCCCAACTCATCATCCTTTACTTCATGATTATTTCAAAGAAAGCAGACATTTCCTTGGAGTTTTATTTAGTCTAGAGAACAAAATCCAGGGAATTATTTCTCTTCCTGGGAAGATCCTACTAGCCCACCTCACTCAAGTTCAGGCTCATTCTCCCCTGGGCCAGCCCTAAACCCACACTCCTCTAATCAGCTCCACTAGGCAGCCAGTGTTGGTGGAGAAGGTTTTCCCTCCAGCTTTCCTTCCAGCCTCCCCCCAACCCAGAGCTTCAGCAGGGTTGCTCACCAGGCCCCTCCAGTGGGTTCAGGGCCCTTTGCATGAGCGAATTGGGACAAGAACTACATCCCCAGTGAATGTTGTGTCCGTGTGCTGTTCCTGTGCCTCGTGGTGGTTTTCACCCTGATCTTTTCTTTCTTTGCAGCTGGTTAATAATCCTCTAGCAAGTCAGGCCGCAGCGGCTGCAGCAGCCATGGGCTCCATAGCAAGTTCACAGGCCTTTGGCAATGCCCTCTCCAGTCTTCAGGGGGTCACAGGTCAACTAGTTACTAATGCACAAGGACAGGTGAGTGGGAGATGGAAACAAGAGTGAATTTTTATGGCAGATTGAACTCGGAAAGGAAATGAATTTCTTTGCATGACAGTGATATGTAACCGCATCTATTCGAGGCAAATAAATAATGTTTACTAGCAATGTCAAGAATAGGAGAAGGGTTGGGAATTATTTCTATATTTTAGAAGCAAGATTTTGCTTTCCTTCCCCTAGAATGTTAAAGTTTTATTTTGTTTTTATTTTTATATGATGACTTGTGTTATGACTGTAGTTGAAGAAGCTCCATCTCGTTTCTGGGGTATTCTTTCTTGAAACAAACAAAAAAGTTAAATTTTGGAAATAAAGTTTCACTTTAAAAAATGTAAATATAAGTGGGGAAGCTAGCTAGTTTCCTTCTCTAATTGCTGTAAGATTACTAAACCAGCCTCAATAAAGCCAACTTTTGAATGTATGAGAAAGTAATGAAGGTCTGTCAGAGCTACAAAGAAAAGTGAATCAGAAAGAGACCAACTGCCGGTCAGCCCCACCATCCCAGCCTCTTGGTACCAGCCTCCAGGTCTCTGCCTCCTTCCCAGGAGCTGGGAAGTTTCTTGCATACTTGTAGATTATCTTTAGTCTATCAGGGCCAGTAAGCCATCCACCTGTCATGAGAGAGTCTACTCCTTACACTGCTAATGCACTCATGCCATGTTCACTGAGGTGACATGCTGACAGAGTTTCAGCTGATCCAATAAACCTGAAAGTTGCATAAAAAACAAACCAGAGTTGGAGATGTTGGCATGAGTGCCCTCCTATCGGTGACCTAACCCGGAGCCCAGCTTCAGTGGTTGGGGCCCTTTGGTCTCCAGTGTGGACATTTATGGCCATGAAACACTGGGACATTTGCATCCTCACAAATATTTCCCCTCCAAGAGTTATTTATTTATTTACCCAGCAATGTGCTTACATGCTGTACTCTCTGCTTGGTCTGCTCTGTAGAGCAGGAATTGCAATGTTTTAAACACTGTTTTTCTTTTCATTTTTATTTTTTTACATAAAGAGTAAACAAAGATGCATTATAAGCTAAACCATCTCCATCTACGTCCCAGGGAAAGGAAAAGCTGACCTTGTTATATTTCCTGGGCGGGTACAGGATTGTCCCGTCAGAAGCCCAAGGGCTGAACGATGGAGCTTGTCAAAGAGAGGCCCCATGTAATGAATCATCTTATCACAGGTGCACACGACACATATTAAAGGAGGGTTGTATGAACACTGTGCCCTCTACAATAACCTTTCAATGTCTGCTTTAACCCTTGTTTCAATCCCTTTTCATCAAAGGATCATTTTATGCAGCCGGCTCTAAATGGAGGCTCTCAAAAGCCTATTAAGATTTCTGGAGGGATGGGGTATTGGGCGGAGGAAAAGTTGGTTTTAATATCTATAACTCATGGTCACATCAGGTCAGTGCTGGAAACTGCTTCCTAGAGCTGTGCCCAGAAATAGAACACCCCACTTCACTCCTGCCAGGCAGGTGGCCCTTGAGATGTAAATTTTAAGAGTTCAAGATGGAAGCCTCTTCCACAGATTGGCATTTCCCTCTGAAATTTTTTTTCCCCTGTTCCAACATTCAAGGAAGATGTAGTACTATGATGGAGAAAAAGGCTTATTGTTTAGAAGGAATCATTAAGTGTTTACTCTTTTGATGACTTTGTGGCTGATCTTTTAGCCAGTTACAAATTCTCAGGGGTTAGAGTTTCATCCTTTGCTAGCCAGAGTCCTAGGGATATCTCTCACAGTCCATGGGTATCCAAAGTAGAACACTGATTAATATTCTGTATACATTGAATAAGAGTTGATTTTACCTTCATTGTTTTTTTTAATTTTAGGAACTGTATTATGATAGTTTGATATGGCACACAAACCTCCTAAAGTGGAAAAAAATTTATATTCACAAGTCCATCAGTAATGCCTACTCATGTAGCCTTGTCTGGGTTTTAACACATTTCCAGTGGTGTGCTGTCTTCCTCCTGGTGCAGAAAGTGTCCAAGAGTTACAGCACATTTCCAGCAGATGAACTAACTGGTCCATTCATGAAACACTATGGGTTTTGTTTTAATCTTTGGAATTGAACACCTATCCCTAAAAAAGAACAGGCAAAAATTATCTGAGGGTGTGTGTGTATTCTTTTGACTTGTGTAAATGTGATACAAAAGATAAGAATATGTTTGGAACCAGGTTAATACAATTAGCCTTGCTCAAAACATCATGGCAAATCTGAACTGCTACACCTAGCCCATTTTCAATTTCAATTTCTTAAAAATTTCCATATATATTTAGGTTCTTTCATCAGTTCTTATTCTTTATCAGAGTTCTTAACATCAACTATTTCTTACATTTGAAAGTATTCCCAGGAGCAATAATATTAAAATCGAAACGTAAGCTTGAAAAGCCCATTTTACTAATAGTTACATAGGCTGGTGAGGTTAGGGATACAGAGACTGTATCAAGCAGGGGCATTTGATCCTTGCTTCCCACTTGCTAAGATTCTTTTGGCTATCTGGAAACAAAAGAACCCAGACCTACCTGAGATTGGGTGTAGTCTCCACTTCTTTCTCATCTTATGACTTTGGGCCAGAATCTTCCTTCAGGTTAGTGCCCTTCAGCTCTCAACAGGAAGCAATCCCACCAACTGGGACATGTTTTGCTTCTCTGTTTTGAAATCTGACTCTGTTTCTACTAACTGGATTCCAGTAAATTTTAAAAGATGGAAAATCTCAATATATTGAAGATTCTTTTTTTCCTGCTCCTTTTTACCCAGCACAGAGGAAAAACTTCAATCATTTTCACACCTTTTTAACTCTGCCCATTCATAAGCATTAATTTACAGGACAGACACTAGTCAATAAAATTATTCATTTTAATAGTAATACTACAGTCTAAGATCAACACACATGTCTCACCCAGGGATGTTAGGGTATTTAAAATCCTATTATACCCAACTTTGCTCTAATGTGTTAAGTTAGTAAATATCTTCCTGATAATTAGTGGTCATGAAATTGACGTTGGTTATGGAGTTACTGGGAATATTCTAGTTCTCTTTACTTACTGGATTAGGGACTTATGCACATATGCGTAGGCAACAGAATAAATGCTAAAAATGGGATTTGAATCCAGGTTGGCCAATGACCTCCAAAAAATTTCTTGAGCCCTTTGCGCCTTAGTGTTCCTGACTACAAAATAAGAATAATAAAATTTAAGCCCTTAAATTGCGAGGATTGAATGAGATAATGGGTGGGGGGAGCCTATCTCGATGCCTGAGTACACAGGTAAAGATTCAATAAATCACTATCTACCACCATAATTACCACCACCATCATCATCCAGCATTTTCTGGAAAACTGTAGTTTAGATATGCAGCAAGAGGCAGTAGTACAGTGTAAAAAGAGAAAGGGAGCAAGACTGTCATTCACTAGCTGTGAGTCCTCTGTGTGCCTCAATTTCTTCATCTGAAAAGTGGGGCGAATAATAACATCAGCTCTTAGGATGAAGGTGCTTAGAATAGGATCAGACTTAGAATAGTCACGTCTCACTGCTCTCATTCCATAAATGCTATCTGTTAATCAAGATGGCAGGTGTTTTCAATTCATAACTTCACACACACAAGCCTGTGTGAAAGTCTGTGTATGTGTGAGGAGTCTGGGAGTGTGAGGGTCTTAGCAGTTGCATGTTACATTAGGGACAGCTCTTTCTTAGCCTGGGTGGTTCGGGGGTTGTGGTGGTGGTGATGTGAGTGCATTTGTGCTCCTAACACTCGCTTACTACGTTCAGGATTTGGCAAGTAGATTTGCCATCGATTTGTTCAGCTATAGAATTGGCTTCCCTTGTGCCCTTGGCAATATCTCCTTATTGGCATTATTACAGAAAAGTAAAAGCAAATGAAATTTTATTTTATCCTGGGGTTAAGGAAAGCATTTTACATTTTAACTGAAACTCAGAATGTTTCCTGATGAAATTAAGTCCTGAGCCACTGTGAAGTTTTCTTAAGTGGTAGCTAGTCAAGTTAAAGAATCATTCAAGTAAAAATAAAAAAGCAACTAAACAACATTACATTTTTTTCCTTTTTCTTTGTTTGTGGTGTTTTTTGGGGGTTTTCTTTCTTTTTTTTTTTTTTTTGGAAGACAGTCTAGACTCAGTATGTAGTCCAGGCTAGGCTTGAGCTTGAGATGCTCCTGCCTCAGCTATGATTATTAGACAGTGGCTTTTTTATTTCCATGTACAAAAAACAAAGAAAAAAGGAGAGACTTATTACACACTTTATCCAACAATACACAAGCTATTATATGACTGAAGGATGACTGAGAAGAACATATTGGGTGAGACAGCAGGATTTGCCTCCTAAAATGGGAAAAAGGCCATGATGAAAGAAAAGCTATCTACTGGATCTAACAGTGGGCTTTGCACCGTGCGTGGAGGATATACCCTTGACTATACAAAGCCATTGACTGTGGCCAGCCTCTATTGCTCAGGTCTGGCTGGTGAGGGATAGATAGTGACGCAGGCCACCAGCACTGCACATGCGCACACCACCTGGAAGGCCTTCCAACAGCATCGTTGTCAAATACGGTTAAAAATAACTTTCCTAACTATTGCAGAAACTTTAAAGCAACAGAGGTTAATAGGAGAAGGGGAGTAGGAACTAGAGAAAAGTTTAGTTCGAGAAGAATCGATTTAGAAAATAACACATATGTACATGGAAGCAAAACTAGGAATCTCCCTATATAGCTATCCTTACTTCAACTAGCAAAAACCCCTGGTCCTCCTTATTAATGTTTATACTCTCTTCATCAAAATTAGAGATAAGGGCAAAACAGTATCTGCTTGGAAGTGAGGGGGTGGAGGTGAAAGGGAGGGGGTGGGGGGAGAGGGAGGGTGTGGGGGGGGAAGGGAGGAGTAATGACCCAATCATTGTATGCACATATGAATAAAGGAAATAAAAAAAAACCTTTCCTAGAATTAAAGGAACATATGTTCATGTGCAGATGT